TACAAACTACATAAAAATTAACATTAAATATAACATATTTAATTTAGTTTAGTCTTTCATATCAATATTGACGTCTCGATTAATTGTATTTTTCCAATCACTTGGGAGATTTTTAAAATAATCGTGTTAAGTGTTAAGAATGCACACTGGCCTTGTGATGAATACGCTAGATCTAGCTTCTTAGAAAGGTTTTTACTAGAAGTTGCTAAGCTTTTTCTTTTCCTGGGTGTAGGTTTTTTAGCAAGTTTAAATTAATTTACTTATCGGATAGGAAATCCCATGGAATATTCACCGCTCCAGGATATGTTTCAGACATATTTATGTATTTCATTAAGGTCCAGAGAATTTTTTCGTTATCTTTATTTATATATATATATATATATATATATATATATATATATATATATATACAAATTTGAAAATGTCATACATTTTTTAAAATCAAATATATTGTCGTTATGGAGTTGAGTTACCAAATACAATTTATATGTTCTTTTTGCACAAGCTTATCCATTGTTGGGAATAAAAAGTATTTGATTCTTTTTACATCGTTTATTTCTCTTATTTTGGGAATGACCTATCTCAAAATGATTGTACATTATATGTATATAAAATTTTTGGGCTGCAAAAGTTTTCAGATTTTATCCTCCATAATATTTATCACTATAATTCGAGAGTCATTCGTAAAAAAGGTTCTCTATGCCGCTGAGAAAGAATGCGACGTACTAGGAGAAATTGGGCAACTCTGCCTTACGCATCAACTCTCCCTCTCTCTCACCCCACTAGTGAGGCCTCATTGCATCGCTTAATGTCGACCTAACAGCCTTCGATCGATGACTCAGTGCTTGACAATTATATCATAACGGCATTGTTCTTTATTGCTGTAGCGGTACTGATGATCACAAAAATGGTGTAGGAATCATGATGAAAAAAACACATAAATAAAACAATAAACATAATTCAAATTTATGCTTCAACAACAAGCAACACCGATAATGACATAGATTTATTCTATTCATATTTACAACATCTAACGAAAACCATGAAGTCAACATAATAATGGACGATTTGAACGCCAAATTCCAAAAAGGAAAAGTGGAAGTTATTGTAGGGAATGATCGTCTAATATTAAAAAAGGTAAGAGGAGATCGATAAGTACCATATTGTCAAGAGAAAAACTAGTCATCACAAACATCTGTTATCAATTACCATCAATGAGACTTTATACATGGAGTGCACCAAGAGACAACGAAAGTAATCTAATAAGAATCCAAATCGATTACACTCTCATTAACAAAATATTTAGAAATTGGATTAAAAGCGTGAAAATATATCTTAGTTCTGATGCAGACTGCGACCAGAATTTACTTCTTGCCAACGTTAATATTAAATTGAGTAAACAAGAGAAACAAAGCAATGAAGCATTTACTCCAGCATTCACAGAAGCTTCAATTAAAGGTATTAACAGTGCCTGGAACGAAATGAAGACGGCAGTACTTAATGCTGGCGAAACGTTTGTGGGTAAAAAAGAACCAAGTTCAAAAAAGATTGGATGAGACCAGATATTATAAAGCTCATAGAAGAAAAACGAGAATACAGAAATGCAAATAAAGTAAAATATAAGTACATAAATAAACTAGTAGAAACGCTGATCAAGGAAGCTAAAGAGCGCTGGATGGATGAAAATTACAAAGAAATAGAAAAAAGAATTTAATATAAAACACGACATTCATAACCTACATAAGAAACTAAAAGACATTATGGGTCATATACGAAAGAGAATACCATAAGTCATAAGAAACTCCAATGGAGACCTTCAATTATCCGAAAACCAAAACAACAAACCTGAGATGAATACATCAAGAACTTATTTACAGATAATAGGGAAGACAAGTGACGAAAATTTTCAAATTCTAATATCAGAGGTAAAACAGGCAATTAAATACTCAAAAAGTAAGCGCCAGGTCCTAATGAAATTCTAGTAGGTATACTAAAAATCCTGAATGACGAAAATATTGAATGTATAACAGAATTAAATAAATATATACCGACGGTCAAATTCCTGAAGAATGGTTAAAATCTTTCTTTTTACCCTTACCGAAGAAAAAAGACGCAGTTCGGGTTTCGAAATTGAATAGGTACTCAAGAAGGACTATTTGCCATCAACATATTGATTTAGCGATGTCGGGATGTAAACGTTGATCTACTTGTGCTTTGTTGACTACGAAAAATCTTTTGATAAAGTAAGACATAAAAAACTAATATCAATACTTATGAAAAAGCGCATTGACAGTAAAAACATAAATATAGTGTAGACATTGCATTGGAACCAAAGTGCCATAGTTCAAATTGATGGGCAACAATCAAAATAAATGAAGATCTATAGGGGAGTTAGCCAGGGACGTGTTTTATCACCACTTTTGTTTAACTTATTTTCTAAAGACATTTTTCAAAACACGCTCATTATCTAAACGGGAGTTGTTAATTAATTTTCCGTTACCGGAAAATTAATTAACAACTAACGATATGCAGACGACACTGTGTCATAGCAACAAGTATAGAGGATCTACACCATCTTATTGAAAGCATGAGTATCGATAGTGCTGATATGGGAATTACTATAAACGCTAAAAAACTAAGTAAATGCTAATTACAAAAAGACATCACCTATCACAAAATATACATCACCTATTAACAATCAATTCTAACGTGATATCACGTTACAGAACAAGTAGAAAAATATCAGTACTTGGAAACTTTGACCAATGAAACCAACGATCATACTGTAGAAATAAACAGGCGAATAGAGATTGCCAAATACGCATTTATATGAATGAAGCCACTCCTAACGTGCAAAAATCTAAATTTGGACCAAATTGGACATTAAAAACATGCAATTTAAAAAGAATCGAGGATTTCGAACTCTGGTTAAACCGCAGAGTATTAAAAATATCATGGACTGATATAATTAAAATAAAGAAGTACTGGAGAGGGTTGGTAAAGAAATAGAACTAATCACCACTATACAAACCATAAAACTGGAATACCTAGGCCACGTGATGAGGGGTTCAAAATAAGAAATTTTGAGACTCATAATACAGATAAATATTCAAGGAAGAAGATCTTTTGGCCGAAGAAGTCTTTAACTCATGGTTAAAGAATCTACGTGATTGGTATCAATGTAGATAGATTGATTTGTTTAGAGCAGCAAGTTCTACAATAAAAATAGCCATTATGATTGCCAAGCTCCGTAGGGAGACGGCACTCTAAGAAGAAGAAGAAAAATACTCCTAAATCTTGTGATGAATACCGATTAATTAGTCTCATGAGTCACACTTTAAAAATACTTTTTAAAATTATTTAACAACGTATACATAAAAAATGTGAAGGACAATTTATTAGACACAGTTTGGATTTAGAGGTTGAATGGGAACAAGAGAGGCATTGTGCGCAATGACGGTACTAGTAAAAAATACAGGGAATATAATTAAAACGTATTCATACGTTATATAGATTTTTAAAAAGCATTTTACAGAGTTCAACATGGTAAACTCATACATGTATTGAAACATATACACCTAGATCCCAACGATATTAATTTAATCAAAAATCTATACTACAATTAGCGGTCGTAATGATGGAAGATAGTGAGACAAACCAAGTCGAAATTCAAAGAGGAGTCAGACAGGGATGTGTGCTGTCGCCACAATTATTTAATGTGTACTCCCAACTAATATTTCAGGAGGCACCATTTGAAAGAACTGAGGTGTAAGGATTGAAGGAAGCGTCATTAATAACATAAGCTTTGCAGACGATATCGCAATCATGGCAGAAAATATAGAAGTTTTGCAAATTATTACAGAAATTATTAACAGATAAAATAAAATGATGGGGCTAACAATGAATATAGATAAAACCAAGATGTAGTTTGAATTAGTATGTACATTACCATGGACAAACGCAGTTTGTGGACAATATATTATTAGACCATGTTTTTGCAAAAGTTATAAATTTTATTTCTATTGTGTATTAGTAGTGTTGGTATGGTGGCGACGCGAGACCATAAATTGTTGAGGGAGGGGCACCCCTAAAAATTGACTAAATTTAGTTTTCAAAAGTTTTATTTTTTTTTTGTTTTATATGGATATTTACTAATTTTTGTACTTCATGCGTTTGTTTTTGTTTTTTAGATAATGGCTAACGCAAGAAAAAATTCAAAAAGAAAGATAACCCAAGAAGAACTTCTTTATTATCTTAAAAACGAGGATGTTTCAGATATTGAGTACCTGTCAGATGATGATGATGATGGTTGGAAGTCAGACGAAATATCTAGAGAACAAAAAAATAATGACATTCTAGATGTACTTAACTATAGATAAAAATAATGGAAATGAAAATGAGCCTGAAAACAGCGACGTTGAAGATGTAGATTTGGCAGATGAAGAAGAAAGGTTGAGGCTATTTGTAAATAGTGAAAATATGGGGGAACATGACAAAGATGAGTTGAACAGGAACCAAACAAATTTTGAGAAAGAATATGGTCTTACTGACAAATCAAAAATAAATTGGATACAAGGGAAAATGTACAATACGAAACAAGAAATATTCAGTGGCATTCAACCGTTTCGACTACCCCTGTTGTAGATTTGCCACCACCAGTTGAATTTTTTACCAAATATATTCCTGATGAGATACTACAACAAATGGCTGATATGACAAATTTATATGCTACACAAAAAAATATTGCTAGATTTCGACCTACAAACTTGGATGAAATCAAGACCTTTATTGGGGTCCATATTGTTATGGTAAACTTACAGTTTCTTAGAGTCTGCATGTATTGGCACCGTAGTATGGGAATACCATTAGTAAAAGATTCCCTAAGTCTGTCTAGATTCTACAAGTTGCGACAGACAATACATTTGGTCGATATTTTGAGTCGCAATGAAGACAACAAGGATAGGTAGGTATATAGATAACAAATTTTGGTAATTTTTTTTATGTATAATAATTTATTAACAATCATAATTTCATATTCTCAAGTTAATTTGATAAAAAGAACAATAACAAAAACTATAATATTTTACCATAATATGGCGTTATGAGGTATGTCACCCAGCGATTTCACATCAGTTTCAGCGAAGATCTATGGGCCATAATCTTCGCAATCTTCGTAGAATTGTTGATTGCGTTCTCTGGATTATTTTTGTATTTGATTTGCTGGCACAACTCCATAGTTCGATTCCGTATGTCCATATAGGTCTGATGACTGGCTTATAAATTAGCAGTTTGTTCTCAATAGAGAGTCGAGATTTTCTACCAATAAGCCAATTAATTTTTTTCACTCGCAACTCAATTTGATTTTTCTTCTTCAAAATTTGCTTCAACTTGCTTTATTTATATTGGTTTGTTACAGATTGTGAAAAGTCAGATGTCTGTACGAGTTAGTACGAAAAAGATACCAGCAGCTACCACTAGAAACGAACTTGTGTGTCGATGAGCAACTAGTCCCATTCAAGGGAGAAATAAATATAAAACAATATATGAAAAACAAACCCAACAAACGGGGTATCAAAATCTACATCTTGACTGGCCAGAGTGGACTGATATATGATTTCTTGATTTATCAAGGTTCAACAACGCCCATTAATCCCATTTACGTAAAATATGGATCGGCAGCTGCTGTAGTTATGCAACTTAGTAAAAGAATATCTGCGAAAAACCACGGCCTATTTTTTGACAATTTCTTCAGTACCTATAATTTGATCCAATATCTGGACTCCAAGTCTATATACTGTATAGGAACCATAAGAGGTAACCGGTTTGCCAATCCAAAGTTACCCAGCGATAAAGAAGTGAAAACAAATGGGCGTGATTTTGCTGCTACCGCAATAAGCAAGGACGGTATTGTCATCACAAAATGTTATGATAACAAGGCAGTACTGACAGCAGCTAACTTCGTTGGAATTGGAGAGTCGGATGAATGTAAAAGATGGGACAAAACAAGAAAAGAATATGTGCAGATTCTCAGGCCTGAATCTATAAGACGATACAAGAGTAACATGGGCGTCGACAAGTTGGACTTCTTGCTAAGTCTATACCGATCCTATGTCAGATTAAAGAAATGGACTGTGAGAATGATCACTCATGCCATTGATTTAGCCCTGATATAATGAGATAAACAAGAGGAAAATCCTTGATTTGTTAGCTTTTCGCCAAGAAGTGGCCGAAAATCTAATCTGCAGTAGACGTGCTCCTAAAAGAGGCAGGCCTTCAAAAAGCTTCGAGGATCCAGGTCCCTCCAAAAAGAAAAAAACTGAAATAAGGCCCCTAAGAGACCTTAGATTTGATGGATACCATCATCTTTCACAGTATGATGATAAAAAGGAAGCCTCAAGATGCTTAATATGAGGGGTGTAAGAGCAGGACACATATATTTTGTCAAACACGCAAAGTTCATTTATGTATTTTAAAGGAAAGGAATTGTTTTCCACATCTCATACAAAGTAAATGTTATAATTTATATTACTTTTGACAATGATCTGATTTATAAGAGTTTCTAATAAAAAATTAACACTCAATGGTTTTTTTTTACTTCCATGAACTTTTTTTGTCCATTGTGATGGACATCCTGCACTGAAAGGGTGGGGGTAGTTAAATTCTTTTTATGTAAAAAAAATAATCTATAGTGCAACAATACTTTGTATAAGAAAAATTTGAATTTTTTAATCACTCTAAAAGGCAGTGATAGTGAAACGGTTAAGACGAGTTGGACATGGCAGAAAGCTTATGCACACAACTAAAATAAGAAAAACATCGTATCTGGGCCACATACTTCGAAACGATAAATACTTTCTTCTGCACGTCATTATGCAAGGAAGATTAGAGAGAAAAAAGGCTTGGGAAGAAAGAAGAAATCTTGGCTGAGGAATATCAGAGATTGGACTAACCTCAGGGTTGAACAGATATTTCAGGTAACAAAAGATAGGGAAGCATTTAAAGAAGTGATAGCAAACCTTCGTTAGAAGACGGCACAATAAGAAGACGAAGCAGCCTTTCAAGGTAGAGCTTTCGATCGCTGTTATCGCCAGAGCGAAATTCGTGCTGTGATAGGTTTTCTAAATGCAAAACAGAATTCATCTATTAACATTCATTGTCATTTAATCGAAGTTTATGGGAAAAACTGCATATATGTTCAACATGTTCGCAAATAATGTAGAGAATTAAGTGAAGGCAGAACGCAAATTCACGATAAAAATCGGAGAGGAAGGCTTTCAGTTTCAGACGAAAAAATTGAACGAATATTACTTGAAGATCCAACAATTTACGACCTTGCTTGGCGTATTCCTGACACTTTCCACTCCACAATTATTCATATCCAGTGGTGTGAGATTTCTCCATGATGACAACGCTCGACCTTATGTCTCACATCAAACTGAACAAATACTAAGCGATATTGGCTAAAGTGTTGTTCCTCCCGCCTTCCCCCCGGCCTACAGTCCAGACCTAGCACCAAGTAATTATCAATTAATCCCAAAATTAAAGGGGAACACTTGGGTGTCTTACGCTTCAGTACCGATGGTGAACTCAAGGAAAAGGTTACTTGCTTTATCAATGGATTGGCGGTAGAATTCTATAACATGGGGATAGAAAATTGGCATGGCAACATGGGCATTTGGTGCACCGTCCGCAAAATTGTTTGGATGGCTAAACGGTGATTATGTAGGTTAATATCGTGAGTTTTAAAAAGTATATTACTCAGAACAAAAATAACGCTATATATTTTTAAAATTCATCAGAACCTTATTTTACGAATGGCTCTCGTATATAAGTATATAAAGTTTTTATATCTTTGCCATACTTTAGTTGTAGTAGAATTGTAAATACTGCTACTTCATCACTCATGTAGCAAACTCTTTCGTTGCGTCCTATGTCAACTATTGGGAAATTACAAATGCATAATTTCCGTTTATAATAAAACTGCTGACAGTGTGTTGTCTTACAACAGTTTTATTAGCAATTTGGTTAATGTACTTTAAATTAATCACTGCTTTTTCGTCTTCACGTACATTTCGCTAAATAGGACATAAGACACACCCTTATTTTTTGTTTTAAAACACTTAAATGTTAAATACTTAAAACGTAAATAATGTACAAATTAATATGTACTGTCGGTACTGTAGGTACTGTCTTAATATTGCAGTAGACTAGATAGGATGTTCTTTTTGCATCCACTCACTACACAAATCAAAAAATTTAGAAATTTTAATGTCTCTTTAAAATATAATTTTGTTGTTTATCATTATAAAACAATGAGACTACTGCTGGAATAGACGATATGTCCTTTTAAAGAGTCTATTTTATTTCATCTACTACTCGTTGTCGCCGTTTTGTATGTTTTCCACGCATATCTTCAAAAATTAAACCAACTTCTGACATCTTTTTAGACATTGTCATCACCCAACTATCGGTTATATCAAACGTATCCAGAAACATTTTTTTACATACCACAATGTAGCTATCATTTAGCGGCAATCTATATTGAAATGTCCACTTCCTTCTAGATTCAATGGAACTATTTAAAATACGATTTTTTGGGTATCTACTAATCAAACGACTAATATATTGAGTTTGAAGGGTGTGATCTCCCATTTTCCAAAACTCTTTAAAAAGTTGTTGTCTTGTTGCAAAATTAATTTTTTCTTGACACTTTCGGATACATTTGTCCGTACAACCACCTTTAAGTTGTCGTTGTTTTACCAATTTACCTTTTCTATTTATAAATTGTTCCCCTTTGTTTTTCTTTTGTTTACGAATTACATCTTTCCATTGCGATCTATTAGCTTTACGTCTTCTTCCACGTTTTGTACTTTTTATGTTAATATTTTCCACTATCAATTCATCATTGTTACTTCGGAGGTAATCACCCGAACCAGACTGATTCTGAAGTTGAATAGAACTTTCTGATGATTCTGTAAACATTTAAAATAATTTAAAAAAGTACAATTAAGTCTCACTTAGGTAAAAAATTTTTCAAAACAATGAATTTACCAGATGATGATGGAATATACTCCGAACCTTCAGGAAAAAAAGCTTCTTCATTTTCAGTTTTCAATTCATCAAATATTTCATTTTGTTTCAGTAATATTGTTTTAAAAGTTATTAGTCCATCTCCTAAAAATTAGATAAGAACAATAAAAAGAATATTTTATGTTGTAGACATAACTTAAAATACTTTATACAAGATCAAATCATTATCTGTCTATAAATATTTTAAATGTTTTTTATATTTACGGTAGGTATTACTCCATTTGCAATCTTTCTTATAAATGCAGACACATCGAAGATATATGTGAATAAATCAAATAAGTTTTACAAGAAGAAAATATTAATAATAATAATAACCTGTGGGAGTTTTTATCAGTTCTTCTATCAGGCGCGGCCCCCTGCGAATGGGGGATGCTTTCTGGGTATCCGTAGCGCAGATACCCAGAGGGTAACAGGAATACCTGTCGTGGAACAAAAACTGACACCTGGCAGTAGGTATAAAATGCACACCCATGATAATGGAGTTTAATCATTTATGTTTGACACATTAAAACAAAAACTATCTGTTTACTCAGGCCGTCTGAGGAGGTACAAAGTTAGTAACAACCGGAAATGCGACAATATACTTTTTGAGCAAGCAGAGAAAACTTTCTATAGGAAACTTAATTCCACTGTAGAAAACGCAAATAAATCCTACTCAAGCCAAGAAGAAATTCATGAGTTTTGGGGAAACCAACTTTCGACGCCAGCTACCCATAAAAACAATGCTGTATGGATTAAAGACACCACGGATATCACAATATTCCTTATGAACCTTTCACCACTAAAGAAGTCTTTAACATTATCAAAGAGCTTCATAACTGGAAATCTCCTGGACCGGACGAAGTTCAAAACTTCTGGCTAAAGAAGTTTTGGAGTGTTCATGAGCTTTTAACAGTATTTATTAATAATATTATTTCTAATTTACAGGAAATACCATCAGTCCTTACTCAGGGAACCACTTATCTAATAGTAAAGGATCAAAATAACACCCAAGATCCAGCCAAGTACCGCCCAATTACTTGTCTTCCAACTTTGTACAAATTGGTCACATCCTGTGTGGCCCGGCGTATCTAGCAACACTGTGCTCTGAACAATATCATAGAGCCCCAACAGAAAGGATGCGCTAAGGGCTCCATGGGATGGAAAGAACCACTTATTATCGACTCAGTCATTTCTAACCAGGCATACACCAAAAAAAGAAACCTTTTTACTGCCTTCATTGACTACAAGAAGGCTTTTGATTCAGTGCCGCATGAATGGCTTACAGATATATTGAAAATATATAAAGTCAATGATAATCTCGTGACCTTTTTGAAGCATATAATGGCAGAGTGGAAGACTAAAATTCACCTTCAAATACCTGGTGAAATTAATATCGAAACTGAAGATATCACTATTAACCGGGGTCTTTTCCAGGGGGACTCGTTGAGTCCACTTTGGTTCTGCCTAACGATGAAACCACTATCTCAGCTGCTGAACTCTACTGACTCAGGATTTAGCATCAAAAATAACAACACTGTTGTAGCGAAGCTTAATCATTTGTTGTATATGGATGATTTAAAATTGATGGATTCGACCGTTACTTGATGGAAATTCATTTTATGTAACAATAAAACACTGAAAACTTTGTTTTCAAACTTCCACAAAATTTATTTTAAATATTATCACTACAGCTGTTTCGGCTAATTGCCTTTCTCAAGTGATCTATTTTGGCTTGGGTTTACAAATTTATAGTCTCTAATGAAATAGGTTGAGGAGGGGAGAACTGTTTGTCTCAAGTTGGTCATTCAGAATTATATCTGTGTTTTTTAATTTGTTGATTTCCATAGATTCTAACAAAGATAGCTTAAGGCCTTTATTTTGAATGTGAAGAATTTTAAATTTGTCATTAAAAGAATGATTATGATCTAGAAGGTGAAGTGCGTATGTCGAATCTGTTTTTCTATTCTTGAAAGCCCTTTTATGTTCTGCTATTCGTTTATCAAAGTTTCTACCAGTTTGACCGATGTAAGTTTTTGGGCAGTCGCCACATTGGAGTTTGTATACACCACTATTTAAGTGTTTTTTATTTTGGCTCTTGTTATTTTTAATATATTTGCCTAGGTTGTTATTTGTTCGGAAAGCTGGTGTTATTCCTTTCTTTTTTATTTGTTTGGCAATTTTTGTTGTTATTTTGCCTGTATATGTAATCGAGCAGAAGGTACTGGGTTTTTTCTCTGGTGGTGGAAATACTAATTTCAGAGCTTTCTTGTGTAGTTTTTGATTTAACATTTTATTAATTGTTTGTTCGTTGTATCCGTTGTTTACTGCTATTTGTTTAATTATATTTAATTCTGTCTCAAAGTTGTCTTTTGACATCGGAATTTCTGTTAATCTATGTAACATACTATGATAAGCTGCCAGTTTGTGTTGTGTTGGATGGGATGACGAATTGTGTATAGTCGTGTCAGTATGGGTAGGTTTATGAAATATGGAGAAGTCATGTTTGTTTTGAAGTCTGCTAATTTTTAAATCTAAAAAATTTATGGATTGATTTTGTTCTGTTTCTATTGTAAATTGAATATGACTATGAACTGAATTAATATATGATAAAAATTGGTCGAGTTGCCTGTTAGTTCCTGTGAAACATACCAGTACGTCGTCTACGTATCTCCACCAATATAAAAACTGTTTGAATACGGGATGTTTTGAAATCTTTGTCTCTAGATGATCCATAAAAATATCTGATAACAATGGGCTTAGAGGATTACCCATTATAAGTCCTGCACTGTTATTTGTATATATTTTATTATTAAATTCAAAGTAGTCCTGGTTTATGCAAACTTCAAGAAGATGTAAAATTTCAGATGTAATTATTGGATTTGTACTATTTTGGTCTAAAAGGTTTTTTACTAGAATAAAAGTTTCTGTAGGAGGGATACTAGGAAAAAGATTTTTTACGTCAAATGAAATTAATCTGGAATTGTTAGGTAATTGAAAATGTTGTATTTTATTAACTAGTTCTATTGTATTTTTTATGGTAAATTTAGGTGAAAATTTAGTGTGGTCTAAAATAATCTCTAACAGTTTTTTTGAAATTTTATATGACGGAGCTGTATAAAAAGAAACTACAGGTCTTATTGGGTGATCCGGTTTGTGTAGTTTAATGAAAGAATATAATTTAGGAGGCTGTGGGTTCATAATATTGAGGTATTTCTGTTCTATTGGATTTAGTATTGATTTTGAATTTTCTAACGCTAGCTTAATTTGTTTTTGATATTTTTCTGTCGGATCTTTGTGTAAAGTTTCAATATTTTGATTATTTAAGAATTCTATTGTTTTGTTATTATATTCTATTTTATCTATAGCAATAGTAGTGTTACCTTTATCTGCTTTTGTAAACACGATGTTGTTTTCTATTGATTTATTTTTAATTGAAATTGCTGTTTTATTCTCTTTGTAACAGGAATTCTTAGTTTCACTACACACATCTGTAATAGATTTGGCAATTATACTTTTTTCGATATTGTTAGCAGTTTTGTTTAACGCTACTTCACATTCTACACCTAAATATTCTAAAGTTCTCTCATTATTATGTTGGGGCAAGTTGTGTTTAAATCCTTTCTCTAAAAGTTGTATCTCGCTGTTACTAAATTTAGTATCTGTTAAATTTATAAATCTATTGAAAAAAGTATGGTTCGAAAAACTTTTTGTATAATGAATATTGGGTTTTTTACTATTGGAAATTAGATTATTTAGTTTTTTACACTGTGTATTGAATTTTTTATCTATTATATTATCTATATTAATTCTCACGTTAGAATCTAGGATGTCAAATTCTATATTATTTAATCTATAATTTAATTCTGAATGACATACCTTAAGATAAACAGATATTATGTCCCGTTTGTTGTATTGGTATTTTCTGTCTTGTTTAAGCCATCTGGTCTGACCGTGATGAATCCCTTTTTGTGCAGCGGGGCTGTGGTTTTTGGTTTTTAACTGAATATACTTCGGGAACACTTTATTTTGTAAACACATATTTAAAAACCAGATGTTTTGTGTCGCCAGTCTACGTTTCAGATGTAATCTTGAAAACAATATGGTCAAAAGTCCTGTACTGACTTCTTTTAAATAATTGATGGATTCGACCGTTACTTGATGGAAATTCATTTTATGTAACAATAAAACACTGAAAACTTTGTTTTCAAACTTCCACAAAATTTATTTTAAATATTATCACTACAGCTGTTTCGGCTAATTGCCTTTCTCAAGTGATCTATTTTGGCTTGGGTTTACAAATTTATAGTCTCTAATGAAATAGGTTGAGGAGGGGAGAACTGTTTGTCTCAAGTTGGTCATTCAGAATTATATCTGTGTTTTTTAATTTGTTGATTTCCATAGATTCTAACAAAGATAGCTTAAGGCCTTTATTTTGAATGTGAAGAATTTTAAATTTGTCATTAAAAGAATGATTATGATCTAGAAGGTGAAGTGCGTATGTCGAATCTGTTTTTCTATTCTTGAAAGCCCTTTTATGTTCTGCTATTCGTTTATCAAAGTTTCTACCAGTTTGACCGATGTAAGTTTTTGGGCAGTCGCCACATTGGAGTTTGTATACACCACTATTTAAGTGTTTTTTATTTTGGCTCTTGTTATTTTTAATATATTTGCCTAGGTTGTTATTTGTTCGGAAAGCTGGTGTTATTCCTTTCTTTTTTATTTGTTTGGCAATTTTTGTTGTTATTTTGCCTGTATATGTAATCGAGCAGAAGGTACTGGGTTTTTTCTCTGGTGGTGGAAATACTAATTTCAGAGCTTTCTTGTGTAGTTTTTGATTTAACATTTTATTAATTGTTTGTTCGTTGTATCCGTTGTTTACTGCTATTTGTTTAATTATATTTAATTCTGTCTCAAAGTTGTCTTTTGACATCGGAATTTCTGTTAATCTATGTAACATACTATGATAAGCTGCCAGTTTGTGTTGTGTTGGATGGGATGACGAATTGTGTATAGTCGTGTCAGTATGGGTAGGTTTATGAAATATGGAGAAGTCATGTTTGTTTTGAAGTCTGCTAATTTTTAAATCTAAAAAATTTATGGAT